ACAACAGTGCATGCGGGATAACATGACCCCATTTGCACATGAGTAGATTCATGCATTTGCACATACGTGCTCGCCCGTATCATGAAAATGAATTAGTCTATTTTTTAAGATTGGGCAAACTCATCATGAAAATGAATTAGTTAAAAGAATAGCATATAATTCAAAACTAAAATTTGTATGTCATTATCATTGATCAGTTAAATAATATTACAAATATGTCAATATAATTGATATTATTTGACAAATTATAAAAGTAATCCACGTTTTAATATAAGTTTTTACAATAAATATAATTTCATTGAAGTGCAAATTTCATGTGAAACTCAAAGTGAATACAAAAATGAATATTAAAAAAACCTAATAAATAAATATTTAATAAATAAAATTGCACCTCCAAATTAAATATAATTTTATATCATTCTTTTATATTCTATTTTGGTTTGCTCAACTATAAGTATACAAAAATAAACTTTTTTTTTAATATAGAGGCATTTACATACATACCACCCAATTCTTATGTATATAGAGGTCTAACATATAAACTCCACTTTTTACGTTCATACCACCCAAAATTTTCATATCATTAAATTTTGTGTTTTTATTATTTTAATTTTCAAAAGGTGAGATGCAAAGTTTAAGTGTTTGATGTGTAAATATATAAAAATTGAGTGGTATGTATATAAATTTCTCAAAAATAACACATTCCCACCGTAAAAGCTAAGAGATTCAAAGTGAAATTTAATCCCACATCGGTTTAATTTCCAAAGATTTTGCGGTCAAAATATTCCCACCGTATATAAAATTTGGATTTTTCCAAGAACTTCTTCGTATGAGTTCTATAAGCATCTTTTTGCAATAGTTTAAGGAAATATTAAAATGTATTTAAACAAAAATTTTAGTCTCAGAATCCACATCACTAAGCTTAACATTTATATAAAATTAATTAGTGTCATAAGAGGGTTAATAAGCTTTAATAAGCTTAGGTTCTTATAGTTCTTATAAATTCAATAAAGGACAAAGTTAAATTGGTTGTTGATTAATAAAATAAATTATGGTTTTAATCTCAGGTAAAATAATATAATTGAGGAGGGGCAAATAATTAAATTGCATCCTTTTTGTTAATAATTTTAAAATTTCAGGGATTGTATGTTGATCCACCAATGAGAACATGAGTTATGAACCTCCGAAAATTCAAATTTTTAAAATGTTCTTTTTGGTTTGTCGCCATTATACCCAATTTTTTGTCTATAAATAACCGAAAGAGAGAGGGGAGAAAACAAATTTTCCCTTCTCAGGTTTAAGTGTCAGTTAGAGTCCCTTAACATGTTGTTGTGTTGTTTCTTCTAAGCTAATGTAGCGCTTTCTTAGAGAAGATTTTTTGCTCTTTGAGATGTTAATATTCAGGGAATCTCGGCCCCACAAAAATCAGGGGAAGTATAAAAATCCTAAGAAGGCGATATCAACACTTACAAAGGATGCCCTAATATTATTTTAGAAAAAGTTTCACTTTCTGACATCGTGAAATTACCAGCTCCTTGGTTGGGCCTACTCACCTCCTCTGAGAGATACATTGTTATTTATGAGGCAAATATGTGAGTTGACCTGCAATTTCCATGAGTGCTTGAGTTAATGGATATTCTAAAGGCCTTCGAAATTAGCATTTCATAGCTCTCTTATCAACCGATGATGATCGTTATCCAGATGAGTGTCCTTTTCAAAATAAGCGAGACTAAGTTCACGTTGGAGATCTTAGCCAACATTGGCGGGTTTGTTAGTGATACATATGACCGTATATCCTTCACGCGTTTGGTACTGATTCTACATACAAAGAGTCGATAAGACATTGGTCTGTCGTATTTTTTTTGGCAAGAATGAATGGGGAATTCATGAGAACCGAGGGAACCACAACAACTATCTATCTCTCTTCAAATCACAATACATAAGTTTCTACAAATGTTTGGATTTTAGGACCTCAAAAAATTGCAGTTCAAGGTACATCACATCAACAACTTTGTGAGTGAGGAATTTCTATGTAAGAAAGACATTTTTATTCATCATGGATTATCATTTGCAATGATATTGAAGAAATCTTAGAAGAAGCACCTAAAATCGACTTCTGTTGTACCTTCAAAATGGCCTTTGTAGGATAGTGATTGTGAAATCCTTCCGCTGAATCAAAGTAAGTGGAGTGATGAGAAAAAAAGTTCGACTATTCCTTCAAAAATTCATATTTTGAAGCGTGTACTTAGTCATTCATGCACCGAGTACCAACAAGTTGAAGATTATGTGAGACTTTTGCAAATATTAATCTCCTTAAATTTATGTTCATTCCACTCATTTCATATAAGCATATTTATTTCAGATTTTGCAAAGATGAAGCTTGAAGTGGTGTTCAATCTTCTCATGATAGAATGAAACTCTGAATTTATTAAGAACAAATTCCTCTTGGGTGAGTATAAGTAGAGATATGATTCTAAAGTTGAAAAAGTTGTAGCCTTAGAGAATTATTTGGCAGAATACATAATGGAGATGTCAAACATGGCAATTTTCCTCTCAACTTCAACATATGGATGGCTCTTGGGAGATGCTGGTGGATGTATGGGTCAACCTTAGTCAGAGTACTAAGAGCTCGAAGGCTTTGAGATAGAAGACATCTACACTTGAGGAGAATATTAGATTGAGGTCTAAGAAAGAATTTGATATTACCGGAGTTAGCTTGATGCTTGTAGAGGACTTCAAGAACTCGGATGATTTTAGGAGCATCATTTGAGATTGTGCTTAGAAGACTTGCAATTACATATATAATGTTAAAGTGACGGAAATGCAGGGAGAATGAATTGAGGAGAGATTTATATGAGTCTTTATAAAGGGGACTCATGTGATGCAACAATAGATTGGAGATGATATTTAGGGACTCACTCCTATCTCACCCTCAAAAAATAAACACCCCCCTTAAAAGTTGAAGAAGAGCAGAGTGACTTGCAGGAGGGCATACTTCATGAGGAGAATATAGAAAATAAGATATTAATTTTTAAAGAAATGAAAATTTGGGATCATAAATGAATGATATAGGAGAACTATAGGGCATCAAAAATAATGGGCGTTTGATCAAGGATTAACAAAATAGAAATTTGATCCTAAAGAAAAATCATATGCATGATTTTCTCTTGTCATGTGGGAAACATAAAACTAAGCACTACTTGAGAGATAACCTAGGAGTTATCTTGTAGTTTGATTACATGTTTTTTCTTAAATTTATGAAATATTTGTGTTATGTTGTAATTTGTTCAGGTTGATGATGTTAAACTAAACGTTTATTACAAGGCAAGTCAATATGTTTTTCTCCTATTTTATTGTGTGCATGTCTATATTTTTATGAAATTGTCTCTTCAGAATCACCTATCATTTACTCATGATATCTTGATTTTTTGCTTTCGATGCTTTGATTCCACTTGATACTATTTAATGATGTTGTGGATGTTTATGTTTATATTTGTGTGACTTCATGCTTTATTTATTGTGAACTATTATTATGTGGTTTTGTTGTTGTATCATGTGCTATGATTTTACTATTTCATATGATATATATGTGATTTCGATGTAGTGATTTTTATTCTAAGTGGTGTATTTGTTATTTATTGAATAATAATGTGTCTAGCCTATCATGTTATTTGCATCATTTGCCGCCCACCTCTAACGTTCTTTGATGCCTGATAGTCCGCCGTAGCTGCTAGCTGGCCATCTGTTGTCGCTGCCATCCACCATCGTCGTTGTCCGTTGTCCCTATCGCTGTCGTTGTCTGTCGTCGCCGGCATCTGACTATCTGTCATCTGCCCCTAGCCGTTCGCCGTTCATCGTCTGCCGATAGCCGTTCGTCATTCGTCGTCTGTTGTCGGTTGGCTGTCCGCCACTCCCGCCGTTAGGCACCCCACTGCAGCCGCCCACCACCCAGAACTACCCCAACGCTTGTCATTCGTCACCGCGCCTTCCGCTTGCAACTTGTCTGCTCCTATTAGCTGTTGAATAAAAAAAAATATTTTAAAATACAATATTTTCAATCTACTTCAAATTAATTAAAAAAATATATAATTTCAAATCTATTCTCATCAGAGTACTCTGTAAATATTTTATATTTCATTTTATTTTCAGCAAATTTAAAAGGAGCTAGTTTGTTTACATCAAAATTTTATTTTGACGCTCAAAGTTTAAAAAGTACAAACAGAGAAGTTATTAATAGAAATATTATTAAATTTATTAAAAAAATATAATAATAATAATAATAATAATAATAATAATAATAATAATAATAATAATAATAATAATAATAATAATAGATCCCCATATAATGATGGGATCAAGTAATTTTTTTTTTTTTCGTTAATTATTAAAGAAAATAGTGGGCTCAGATTAATCGCAAGATCATTAATGATCACGAATATTGCCAAGCGGCACTGGAGCAAAGAATCTGCGAAAAGGGAAAATGATATAAATTCGGTTTTGGTGGTGCCATTTCTAAAGGCGCAACTTCAATTCACGTCTGATATGGGCATTCGTAGAATCAGAAATTCCAAACCCGGGACGCGGTGTCAGCCTCGCTTCCCAATTTTACGAATTTCAGAGCTCAGGTTCAATTTTTGTTTTGCTCATTAATAATGTTCGGCTCATTTATATTTTAAAGATAAAAAATATATTGTATTTGGCTCATGTGCTTAGCCAGCTGAATATTAACCATTCGTGTAAATATTAAAAATTAGGATAAGATTTAAATATTATTATTTATATTAAAATATCATTTACATATAATGTAATATATTTTTATTTAATTAAAATTGACTTTTTAAAAGTACTGCACATTATAAATATACATATATACACAAGCAAAATATGAACGATAAATTCTTAACTGAGTTGAAGAAGAGCTATTTCACAACAGTGCACAGTTTCTGACAGCCTAGTTACCGTTCGGCCTAAAATTACAAAAAAGCGTGACGAAACGTGATATTGCCCAATAAACGGTCTGAAAAATCAAAACAAACAAACCCTCTTGTTTCCATGATGATGAACCGCTGCTCCGGCTTCCAAACAAGAATAATAATGGCGCCTACCAGCCAAACGTAAGGCCCTTAAATTTCGGTTTCTCTTTCTATCTCTCTCTTGCGTTAATGGCGTCCGCTGACGGCTCTTTGCCATCGCCGGGCCGCCGGAACCTTCGCCGACTCCTACAACTCCGAACTCCAGGCGTCGAATCTGCCGATCAAAACCCTCTGACCTCACTTTCCTCCTCTCGACCGCCACCTCAGGAGGCGACCACTAACGTAGATAAGAGGAAAAGCATCGCATCCCAGACCTTCCTCGGCCTAGGCTGCTCCTCCTCTGCTTCGTCGCAGGTATGCGCCCCCGGAGCTGCCGCTTCCACCGTCCGCTCGTCGGCAGATTGGCAAGGGAGGCGAACTGTGCGGCGGAGGCACAAGAATAAGAAGAAGGAGCGGCGTTCCTCCCCCCCGGTGGCTCCAGTGGCCGACGTGTGGTGTTCCCCCGGCATTGCCCTTGTAGCAGTGGATGACTCGGTGGATTGCGTGGTCTCACAACGCGATCCGGTTGGAAGAGGGTTCAGGCGTGACAATGAGAGGATTTTGAGAGAGGTTTGTGTGTGCTTAGCATCATCACGTCTTCAATTTTTTGGTTGAATCGCTTAAAGTTGGGGAATATTAAATAAAATACATTATTAATTTCAAACATTCTGTAACCTTGTATCGCACATTCCGGTGTTAGCGGACTTCTTCTGGAAGGGCTTTCTCCAGCAACGGTGAGCAGATTTCTTTATTGGCGGATTCTTTCTCCTCTCTCCAAGCATCGCTCATTGGATCCGATCTCATACCATCTCGACATTATGATCATGTGCGAGGATACTGCAGCCGGCCTCCAGTGGGGCTTCAAGAGGTGTAATCGCCTATCTGATCTCTGTCAATTTCAACTTTACTGGCTTGCTGATTTACTCTCTGAATGAACCATTTACTTCGGTAATAAGAAAGCTGTATTTTTAATTGACATAATATATCCTGTGGCTTTTATGTTTTAGGGCTTTACTTGTTTTTTTTATCTCGTTTCTAAACTAGCAAAAAGCCACAAGGTAGAAAAATTATATGTGCTGAAGAATTGAAGCTACAGGGCCGCAAAAGAGAATCCGTTTGCTTCAGAAAGACTTGTTTTAGTTCACTTCTGTTGCATTTTTCATAGTTTAAATAGGAGTTCAGCAAAATCCAGCTAAGCATAAAAAAAAAAAGAAAAAAAATAAATTGAACACTCAGTAAAATTGAATTTTTTGGCGTAATGCCCTTTCTTCCAGCATTTGGTATCTTATAGGACGTATATTCGGATTTAGGATCTGTTTGGGGCAACTGCAGTTTATTAAGAAACTGCTGAAGAATAATATGATGTTGCAAAAAACTACAGTAACTATTATAATTTTTTTTTTTTTGAAAAAGTCAAACCGTAACTAGAAAACTCCCACATCACCTAGACAGGAGCGGTGGAAAAACACTAGTTTCAGCGATAATTTTATCGAAAAAGTTTTCAAAATGCAGTTTACCCAAACGACCAAAACAGCGTTGCGGCGCCGCATGGCCGCCGCACAGCTGCCTCAAACGAAGCCTTAGTCTATTCAGTAAATTTCTTTCTGTTGTCGTTCATGAGTTCATCTCTGTCGCACAAACTATTGGATTTACTGGATTTAATAAATCTTCTTTAAAGTAAATTCAGGTTGGAGCCAAACACCGTCTTAATATTTGAATAATCTTCTAATGGGTAAATAATGAGATTTGAAAGTCTTCACACTTATTATTCTATTTATTTATTATTTAAAGGCTGGCCCTTATTCTTATCTAATCTTATCTAGAACAAGCTGTCAATTGGGCTAATTTTTATTAAAAATATGAAAGAGGGACAATGTAATGTGCTTTTCCGTGTCGGGTGGAAGGACTATTTTCACACCTTACCCAACAGTCCGAAAATTATGGCAGGATAAGAGCTGAACGGCCACAATGCTAATATATTACATTCATTAAAAATATATGTGCAGTTTATATCTGTTTACAGACGCCAACATAAATTCAGAAATACCTTGAAAACATGAATTATTTATTAGGCATTAGAAGTATATGAGAGAAAAATATTCTAACTGAAAAAAAACTAAATAAAACATAATAGAATATAAGATTAGATTGATACAAGTGATGGTCAATAAATAACTATTAGATTGAAAAATTAACTATCATAGCAAAGTGTTGTGAATTCTTGCCCCGCCAAGCACCAAGAGAAAATTCTAAAGAACTCCTGCAGCTCTTGATCACCAAGAACACTAAGAACATGCAAAGCTTTAAAGAACCGGACAACCTTTCAGTTCTAGCAAAGCCTACAAGAAACGAACACCTGCCTGCAGTTTGCGATCTTGTTACCCATTCTCTTCAAGAACCTGAGCTGCCAAAAGAGGAGGGGAGAAACAGGGAAAAGAAAACTGCAGGAAGAAAATGTGACAAAGACACAAACATAAGAACACAACAATTACGTGGTTCGGTTCATAAACCCACATCCATGGAGGGAATCAACTATCAATCCACTAAAGCAAAGAAGAATTACAAAGCTTCCTTTTACATTGAGGAATGACCAATCCTCTTGATCTCTCACCCTCGAAACTACCTCGATACAAGATCAAAGACTCCTCCCTCAATTCTTGAAGCCTCTCCATTTCTTCTTCTTCTTGGACAAATTTCCTTTCTCTTCTTGGTCTTCTTGGTTTTCTTTCTATCTTCCTCCTTCTAGTGGCCTCTCCCTTCTACAAATCTATCTTCTCCCCTTGTAGTAGTCTCTCCCCCCTACAAGCCTATCTTCTCCCTTGTAGTCTTATTCCCCCTCTCCTACAAGCCTCTCCCTCATCCATTTATAAATAGATGAGGCCGCCCCAAATAGACCATAGAAGCTCACAGGAAATCACAAGTATGCAATTACCATAATGAAGAGTCATATTATAACAATTCTCCACATTGACTCTTAATTCTAGTGGCCTCTCCCTTCTACAAATCTATCTTCTCCCCTTGTAGTAGTCTCTCCCCCCTACAAGCCTATCTTCTCCCTTGTAGTCTTATTCCCCCTCTCCTACAAGCCTCTCCCTCATCCATTTATAAATAGATGAGGCCGCCCCAAATAGACCATAGAAGCTCACAGGAAATCACAAGTATGCAATTACCATAATGAAGAGTCATATTATAACAATTCTCCACATTGACTCTTAATTATAAAGCTTCATAATAGAGATTCCTTCCACCTGTCGTAACTGCACCTGCCGCAACTCTACCTGAGACAAAATTTGCGAA